TGGCTTAATTAGGTCCCAGTCTTCCTCTTTCCATATGTCATCAAAGACAATTAATGATTTAGTTGTTTCCAACAGCCGAAAGAGTTCATCCTGGAGTTCAGCTTCTTTCATCTTTAAGATTTCATCTTTATTTTCTTTAGATGTGAGATTCTGCAAGATTGTTTGCCACACAGATCTCTGGGTAAATTCCTGTGAGACACACACCCATGCGCGTCTTTCAAACTGATGTTTTACATCTTCATGGTTAAAAACCTGTCTAGCAAGTGTGGTTTTACCAAGACCACCCATCCCGGTTATGGAGACCACTTGAACGTTTTCTTCTTCCACCAAATATCCAACCAGTTTCTTAACATTTGCGTCCAACCCCACAAAATCGCTTTTGTAGTCCTTAGAAAACGTTTGTCGCATCTCCCTTTGTCTATCACCATGAGGTTGCATATACCCACCATCGGCAATAGCCTGTTGTACTCCAAAACTCTGCATATCTCGGATAACATCAGAGATCCTCATACGTATGCCTCCAATATCTAATGCATATCTCCTCCTATCTGGAATAATGAAAGCAAGCCTTCTGATACTCTTCTTGATTCCACTTGTTTTTCTAAGACTTTCCTTGAGAAGATATGTTTCAATTATATCTTCCGCGTCAAAAACAATTTCCTGTATTTCTTCAACACAATTTCTCACCACCGCAGTTGTGTGTTTCTTTGCATCCGCATCTTTAAGAAAAGAGCCTAACAAGTCACGTTTTAGTCCAGTAACTTGATCTTCAACTCCCTGAAATCTCTCGGATTCTTGACTTAGTAGGTCCCAAAGCTTTTTTATTCCAAACGACACAAGTTCTCCAGCCATAATTCCTCCTGTTTAAGCAATATGAAAATAAGAATCAAGTTACGTACTATTGATGAACATGCATTATCGCCAAGAGTAAAACAAAGCAATATCGGAATTTTATATTCCATACATCGATCTTGGGCATCTTATAGACACACTCATACAATATTTGCAATGTAAATAAGTTTTAAATGATGAAAAAAAAAAAAAAAAAAAGTTTTAAATGAAGGTATACACATTTTTTTTTTGTCAACAGCTATATTAGATTGACTCAAATAAGCCAATGTTGGGGAAAGTTGTTTACATAAGTGATAAAATGCGGCTGGATACGAACAGTTCGTATTAACAGTATTATTATTATAGATTTAGAGAAGACATTTATATAGTTAACAACAAAAATATATTAAATCAAGAATGTTTTCACGGCCGTGAGCAATACAATCTGTAAAACCTTTTATACATCCTAAGGTTTCTTGACAAACCAAAAACTTAATAAACTGTAGTTAAGATTTAACATTTTTAGTGAGATCTAATCAAACTGCTATAAATCTTTTCAAATATAATGAATTCTTGGCATAAGGCTTGTTATTCAACTTACAGAAGTCAACAAAATATAGATATAACTATCTTTAACTATATTCAAGCTTTCTGTGTCTCGTCACCCAGATGCAATTACAGAGACAAATTAAATAGTAGTTGCAATCCAGACCAAGACCATGGGCAAAGAAAGTTTTCTAAGAATAAAAGAGAAAATAACATTACAAGAAAATTTTACTAACCTCTTGATGGCGTCAAGGAACTCTCCTGTTGTTGCTCTTTATGAAAAAGAGAGATGCTTAATTCAGCTTGACGTTGACTCTTCTCGGGGAAGAATGATACCAAAACAAAAAAAAAGTCTCTGATTGTGCTTAAAACGACAACTGTTTGTCACCCACCCATTTTTCTATCTTTATTGCAGCCTTTGAGTACTGTTCGAGTTTCTGTGGTCACCAAAGTATACAAACAGTAAAAAGAATGTATTTAGCTAGAAGGAAAAACAAATTATTGTTTACATAATTTTTGAACTAATAAAATCTGAAACCAGAGTATAAACATCTATGAATGAACCACTACAAGGTGGGCTAGTGGTAGGACGGATTTCGTGGTTGAGGGGGTAATCCCAATACGCCCGGGTTCGATTCCCCCTTGCTACATACTAGTGGTCACCAGGGAATTTACATGCGGACTTGCTCTGGCGCCCAAGACCGAAGACCGTTACCTGGCCATGACCCACCCTCGGGTGTGCGTCCGTGCCGTAAGGGTTCGGTCTCTAGTCTGGACCACCTCGGTGGGGCTAGGACACTCGGTTATCAAAAAAAAAAAAACATCTATGAATGTTGATACAAAACCACACAGTAGTTTTTACTTAATTCTGAGCTCATAAATATGATTAGCACTTCAAGGCCGTCATACAAAGTCAAATTCGGTTGATGAAATCAATACGAAAATACAATTTTGTAATCTATATAATTAGATGCTTAACATATTACTCTCTCTGTTTCGTTTTAGTTGTCGTTTAAGGTTTTCTCACACAAATTAAGAAAAACATTAAATTTTCTGTTTTACCCTTTATTAATATATTTTATAAAAAATTCATTAGCCGAAATATTAAAACAGTAGGGATAAAACTGGAATTTTCACAAAACATTTGCATCGAAAACCTAAAACGACAACTATTATGAAACAAAATTTTAACTCTAAAACGACAAGTAAAACGAAACGGAGGGAGTATTATTGAATCTCTATTGATTTATTTTAAGTATTTATAATGTTTATTGCTTTATCTTGATCTGTGAAAGTTTCGGAAAACTAAATTTAAAATTTTAATGTTTATTGCGTTATCTTAATCTTTCAAATTTCAGTCACACAATAATGTTGTTTTATATCTACTTTGATAATCTAAAAAGCCAAAATGACAAATCATATATTAGAAAGAAAAAAACTTATGTAATTATTCAGAGTTTCAGACCCTTGATTCAAGAGCTCCAAAGCTTCTGAGCTCCAAATGAAACAATACTCTCAGCCAGAAGTCTCCATCTTTAACCATGAATAGTGGAGTGCATATTTATTTATGAGGGGCCATTGCAAGAAATAGTAGATTATATTGAAAGTTCAAAGCAGCTACCAAAGTTACAAACTTACAAAGTACTGTACGTACAAAGATAAAGATTGTAGCAGCCGAGTCGCTTGGTAACATACAATAAAAGACAACAAAAATAGAATTATATACTAATTCCAAAATGACATGTCTCAGCTTTCTCTGAATCAGCAAAGAATTAGATAGATATGAGTTTGTCATATACCAGACAGTTCGTGAAAACCATATCTCTTATTCTCTTCACAAACTCACTAACCAAAACAATGCAAGAGATCAAGTCTCTGTTAGACAATACGCCGAAACACCATCACAACATCTCTTCATGTAATCATTCAATATTATATTCGAAATACAAGTATATTTCACTTGCCCAAAATTGAAAACAAACATATCTTATTTTAACTAAAGGGGTGGTGTTATTGGTTTCCAACTTTGAAAAAGTTTTAATGACTTTAAAAAAATATAGAAAGTAGATGAAATTAAAGATTTTATTTTTAAATGATTACTAGAGAGTTTTGTATAATCTCTTTGATTAACTTTTTTATAATCTTGTAAAGTCTCCCTAAATATGATTATAAACTTTGATAGTATCTCAAACTTTTATTATAACATATCTCCAAAATATTGCATAATATTCTATTGTGGTTATTATTGCTTGTCTCATATTCTATTGTGGTTATTATTGCCCAGCATTTTGACTAAAGAAGAATTCATTTCTCTGACTTGATAGCCTATCCTTCCATAGTTCCATTCCCCGTACTATTCATCGGAATTTAATAACAGGGATGTGTTGAACTAGGCTATAGTCTTTTCCTCCTAGTGAGAATCTATCCATCCATTCCCCGTACATTATCGGATGCTTTAAAGAATAGAGTAATCGTAGCCCATCATGAAGCTCCTCTAACTTTGGACAATCATCAATAGTGAGAGAACAAAGAAGGGGCATGGAGCCTTGTTCTATTACCCACTCTTCCCATCCCGCTAGTCTCTCTATTGAAAGCTTCTGCAATTGAGGAAACCCACCGGGCGAGCAAACCATTCTCCTCCCACTGAAATATTTGTACAAATGAACCTCTTTCAACTGAAGTAACTTCTCTATAATCAGCATCGGATCATCCACCAAACCAAAACTTCGTAGAAATATGGTTGTAAGGTGAGAAGGGAGGTGTTTTCCATGAGGAAGCTCCTTTAATTTTTGACAATGAATAATATGCAGAACATGAAGAAGGGGCATGGAGCTTTCTTCTGCTATCCACTCTTACCATTCCTCTAATCCACATAATACAAGCTGCTGCAATTGAGGAAACCCACCGCTGGAGCAAACCATTATCCTCCCACTGAAAAACTGATGCCCTAATTCAACCTTCTAAAGATATGGTTGTAAGGTGAGAAGGGAAGTGTTGTTCATTAGGTAACTTTGGCATATATATTCTAAACTAAACCTTCTTTCTAATACGCCTCTTCATCATATATAGAAAGATATTCCAAGTGTCTCAATTCACTAAGAGATGAAGATAGTGTTTCACTCGTACACCCTTTGCCTTCGATATAGATAAATATATTTCTTAGTTTTTTCATTCGTTGAAGATCCTTTACACTTGACTAGATTACCCAATTCTATGATACAGTATAGTGAGCAGCTCCACGTGGATGGTTGAGATGAGGTGAGCATTCAACGGTCAAGATCATATACCAATCAATGGTCAAGATCAGATGCAAGTGGCAAGTGGAAGCTGGAATATAAAAGCACAAAGGAATCGAGATTTAGATTATCATTGAATTGTTGTTAAGTTTGTTATTTTCTCCGTTTGTGCCCTGGGTTGTTGTGAGATTCATCCTCTGCGAAGAACGTGGTTCTTGCAAGGTGAATCCAGAGATTCCCTGTTTTATGAACATTGAATCTCATCGTTCTATTGAATCATATTATTCAGAATTGTTGTGTGGTTGATTGTTATGCTTGGTTGTGTGATTGATTCTGATTGTACTCAGTTTCTTATCAAAGGTATCAGAGCCACAACGGTTCTCGGCGATGGTGGTGGAGACTCGCGCGCAAGAGCTCGCTCAAGCGAGAAAGGAGAAAGACGTGTTGGTCGCAGAGCCGGTGGAATCGCGACTAAACAAGCTTGAAAACAAGTTGGATGCACAAAATTTGAAGATCGAGGGACATATTGCTGAGATGTTTGAGGCGATCAACATGTTATCGGCTTCAAAACAATCTCCGCCGGTTGAACCATTCACACCAGCTCGTCACTCAAATTTTTCCGCCGGTTGTTCGTCAGATCTGGAGTTTGGAAGAAGATCGGGGCATTTTAACAACTACTAGGGCGTAACGAGGTTGGGGAAGCTTGATTTTCCTCGTTTTGGTGGTGAACAGGTGAAGGATTGGATATTCAAAGCAGATCAGTTTTTTAAAGTTGATCACACCCCAGATGACTTGAAGGTATCAGTGGCTTCGATTCATTTAGATGGTATTGCAGCTACGTGGCACCAAAATTTGGTTGAGGATGAGGTAGATCTCGCAGATTGGTCTACTTAAAAGTTGCGGGTACGGGAAAGGTTTGATGAAGTTGGTGAGGATCTGATTTCTGAGTTGAAACGATTGCAGGAAACAGAAGGAATCAAGGAGTATTATGCTAAATTTGAGAACATCAGAACTCGGGTTAAGTTTTCTGAACCTTACTTGGTGAGTGCTTATTTGGCTAGGTTGCGATTGGATACGCATATGCATATTCGGATGTTTAAACCAAAAACTGTGCAGCAATGTTTGTTGTTGGGGCGCTTGTATGAGACTGCTCATCCACGAAAGAGTATAGCAAGTCCTTGGACTATGAACAAACAATCTAACAAGAGTCAGCTGCCATTCAGGAAGGATGCTGAAAATCATATACCAAAAGCTGTCTTACCTAAGAGACCAAGAGATCATCAAATGCAACCGCGAAAGTTTTTATCTAATGAGGAGATGAGTGCTAGGAGAGCAAAAGGTTTATGTTACTTTTGTGATGAACAATACACACCTGAACATTACAAAGTGCATAGGAAGGCACAGCTCTTTGTGCTTGATATGGAAGAAGGGGTGGAGGAAGTTTTTCTAGATGCTGAGGAAGAACATGGTGAACCAGAAGGAGAAGTGGCTCACATTTCTGCTCATGCTATGGAAGGAATTTCTACCTACTCTACTATGCGGGTGAAGGGTATTCATCATACACAGAACACTGGCCACAAGAGATCTTTATTCATGCTTGTTGACTCGGGTTCGACGCATAACTTTATGGATCCACAAATAGCAGCAAAACTGGGTTGTTCTTTGATGTCTAGTGAGAATGCCAGAGTTAGAGTGGCTGATGTGTATAATTAAAGGTGTTGGCCAAGATTAAAAACTTTTAGTGAGAAATCCATGGTACTAAGTTTGTGGCTGACTTTATGGTGATTCCATTGAAGGGAATTGATGCAGTCTTGGGAGTGCAATGGTTGCAACCATTGGGTCCTATCACTTTTGATTTTACACTATTGACGATGAAGTTTATTTGGAAGGGAAAGAAGGTTGCTATCCATGGTCTTCAGTCAGATTCTGTCAGGTCCATTAAAACAGAGAAGTTGAACAAATTAAAAGAAGAAGATGTACAGTTGTCTATGCTTTGTGTGACTGAGGCTGATGATGGAAGTGCCATTTTGTTGTCCTCAATGGAAGCTAGCCGTGAGGAACAGGTAGTGTCACCAACTGAGGAATTACTCAAAGAGTTTAATGATGTTTTTGTCGAGCCGATAGCTTTGCCTCCTTTTAGGAAGAATCATAATCATCAGATTCGTTTGGTGGAGGGTTCTAATCCTGTGAATTTGCGTCTTTACCGTTATGATGTTCATCAGAAGGGTGAAATTGAAAAAATGGTGCAGGAAATGTTGAAAAGTGGTATTATTCAGCCAAGCTCAAGTTCCTTTGCGTCCCATGTGGTCTTAGTGAAGAAGAAAGATGGTACTTGAAGGCTTTGTGTGGATTACAAAGGTGTTAATAAGATTACGGTGAAGGATTGTTTCCCTATTCCTCTTACTGAGGACTTGATGGATGAATTAGGTGGCTCTACTATATACTCTAAGATTGATTTGAGGGCGGGATACCATCAGGTTCGTATGGAGACTGATGACATTCATAAAACTGCCTTTAAAACTCACAGTGGCCATTTTGAGTAGAGAGTTATGCCATTTGGCTTAACTAATGCGCCTGCAACGTTCCAAGGTTTGGTGAATGCGGTGTTTCAACAGTTTCTCCGGCAGTTTGTCTTAGTTTTCTTTGATGATATATTGGTGTACAGTGCTTAAGAGGAGGATCATTTATCACATCTGCGGTTAGTTCTGGAGTTGATGAGAGAACAGAAATTGTTTGCCAAACGAAGCAAGTGTGCTTTTGTGACTTCTAGAGTGGAGTACTTGGGTCACTTTATTGACAAGGGAGGTATTTCTACAGATCCTTCCAAGATTCAGGCTGTAAAAGAATGGCCTGTTCCTTCTAATTTGAAACAGCTACGGGGGTTTTTGGGGCTGGCTAACTATTACAGGCGGTTTGTTCAGAATTTTGGAGTTATCGCAAGACCTCTGACCTTGTTGACAAAGAAAGATGCTTTTATTTGGACTGTGGAGGCTGATGCAGCGTTTGAAGCACTCAAAATTGCGCTGTGTACTGCACCAATCTTAGCACTTCCCTTGTTTGATCAGCAATTTGTGGTGGAAACAGATGCATGTGGGTATGGAATTGGTGCAGTTCTAATGCAGCAAGGTCATCCTTTGGCCTAGATAAGCAGACATTTACAAGGCAATCAACTCAATCTATCCATTTATGAGAAAGAACTTTTAGTAGTGGTATTTGCGGTACAAAAATGGCGACATTATTTGATTCATGCTCATTTTGTGATCAAAACTGATCAACGAAGTCTGAAATACTTACTGGAGCAACGCTTGAATACACCAATTCAACAACAGTGTCTCCCTAAGTTGTTGGAGTTTGACTATGATATTCAGTACAAGGAAGGTAAAGAAAACTTGGTTGCAGATGCTTTATCAAGGGTGGAAGGTTCTGAGGTTCTACATATGGCTTTATCTGTCTTAGAATGTGATCTTTTGCAACAATAGAGAAGGTTATGAATCTGATGCAGTAATTAAGGTGCTGATTGAGGACTTAAAGAAGAATGTGGATTCTAGGAAACAATTTACATGGTCTAAGGGGTTGTTGCGCCGTAAGAGTAAGTTGGTGGTCCCTAACGTGGTCTCTCTGCGGAAGTCTATTCTAGACTGGTTACATTGCTCAGGGGTTGGAGGACATTCTGGTCGTGATGCTACACACCAGCGAGTCAAGAGCATTTTTTATTGGAAAGGTATGTCAAAGGATATACAGGCTTACATCAGGGGTTGTAGGATTTGTCAACAGTGCAAGTATGATACTGCAGCATCGCCGGGGTTGATTCAGCCATTACCAATTCCTAATGCAGCCTGGTCAGATATCTCGATGGATTTCATAGATGGACTACCCGACTCATTTGGTAAATCAGTTATTCTTGTGGTGGTTGATAGGTTGACTAAAGTAGCTCATTTTGTGGCTTTAAGTCACCCTTATTCAGCGTTAACAGTGGCTCAAGCTTTCATGGATAACATTTTCAAGCTTCATGGATTGCCAAACTCTATTGTAAGTGACGGGGACTCTGTTTCTAAGTGAATTTTGGAGCGAATTGTTCACTCTTCAGGGGGTTGCTCTCAATTATTCTAGTGCTTATCATCCCCAAAGTGATGGGCAGTCTGAAGTGGTGAATAGATCCTTGGAGACTTACTTGAGGTGCATGTGTAGTGACAGACCAGGGTTGTGGAGTCGTTGGTTACCTTTAGCTGAATACTGGTACAACACAAATTTTCATTCTTCTGCTAATATGACACCTTATGAAGCAGTCTATGGGCAGTTGCCTCCGCAGCATTTACCTTACATTCCTGGGGAGTCCAAGGTAGCAGTAGTGGCTCAAAATTTGCAGGATCGTGAAAATATGCTGTTGATTTTGAAGTTTCATTTGTTGACGGCTCAGCATAGGATGGAGCAGTCTGCTAAGGTGGGAGATTTTGTGTTTGTTAAGCTTCAGCCATATCGTCAGGGATCTGTGGTGATGCGAGGAAACCAGAAACTTGCTCCTAAGTATTATGGACCCTATAAAGTGGTGGACAGGTGTGGTAAAGTTGCATACAAATTGGCCTTACCAGAGACTTCACGCATTCACCCTGTGTTCCATGTCTCTCAGTTGAAGTTGCGAGTGGGTGCTTCCTCTGTTGGCAATCATCTTCCTGCTGTGGTGCATGACGTGTTGCGGAAGGTACCAGAGAGTATTCTGGAACGCAAGTTGGTGAATCGCCAAGGCCGTGCTGCTACTAAGGTTTTGGTCAAATGGTCCAATGAGGATGAAACATAGGCGACTTGGGAGTTCTTATATGAGTTGGTGAAGAAGTATCCTGAATCTAACCATGAGGTCATGGTTGCTGAAGGAGGGAGGATTTGATTCAGTATAGTGAGCAGCTCCACGTGGATGGTTGAGATGAGGTGAGCATTCAACGGTCAAGATCAGATACCAATCAATGGTCAAGATCAGATGCAAGTGGCAAGTGGAAGCTGCAATATAAAGCACAAAGGAATCGAGATTTAGATTATCATTGAATTGTTGTTAAGTTTGTTATTTTCTCCGTTTGAGCCCTGGGTTGTTGTGAGATTCATCCTCTGCGAAGAACGTGGTTCTTGCAAGGTGAATCCATAGATTCACTGTTTTATGAACATTGAATCTGATCGTTCTATTGAATTATATTATTCAGAATTGTTGTGTGGTTGATTGTTATGCTTGGTTGTGCGATTGATTCTGATTGTACTCAGTTTCTTATCATTCTATCTTTACCTTATAATCCATTTCAGATGGAACAGAGGTATGTCAATTCTCGCATCTCTTTCATGAAATCAGGCATGTGGGTTGGCAATCTCCCTTTTACATCTAGGTTTAAATCGAGCAGCTGTTTCAGGTTCCACATAGAAGAAGGTAGATGAGTCACTATTGCTTCAGATAAACTCAAATATCTTAAGTGGATGAGCATCGCAATGCTAGAAGGTAACTTCCCTCCTTTAAACACCGCATAAGAAAGATCTAAAACCCTCATTAATTGTAGCCTTGTAAAGCATAATCGTGATGTCATCCGATTTTTCTCCCATGATTTCTTCTTGATAAGCAAGAGAGATTTAAGTTTTGGATTCCGCATCTCCCACTTTGGATCATAAGATCTATCAAGCTGGTGTAGTGCGATTTTGCAAGATTTACAAAGAGATTGCGAGGTTGCAGTTGAGGCTCTTATCTCAACAGTGTGTATGGAATTCCCTTCCTTAACTTTAAGAAGACAAACTTCTCTCATCACATCATGAAGCTGACATGTTTCAAATCTTGAAGTTCTAGCGTCTCTTTTAGAAATAACCATGTTTCTCTTCACCAATTCTTCTATATATCCATCTGCGACCTGTCTAATGGTTGCTCCATCGTAATACCTCGGCCTTGGTATTCCTTCTGCAGCCCAGTAATAGGCCAAATCCTCTACAACTATTGCATAATCTTCTGGAAAATGAGCGAGGTAAAGAAAATAATGCTTCAAATAACTAGGCAACTCTTCGAAGCTCAAAGATAATACATTGTCAATAGAATTGTTGTTAGCGCTGGTTCTTCTAATCACGTTATGAGATCTTATATTCGTTGATAATCTCTCCCAATGAGGTACCATGTATTTTGTATTCAACAAACCTCCTAAGGCTTTGCAGCCAATGGTAGTCGTTTACAATGTTTGACCATTTCCTGATGGGCTCATGAAACATGACCGGCCCATACAAATTATGGTTTTAGGGTTTTGGTTTTATAGTTTTAATTTGATTAGGATATTATTGCTTTTATGATTATCTTCTCTTTATTCTTGTTGGACTAGATAAACTCAAATCATGTGGTGTTTTCTTATAAATACCGTGAGAACTCAATAAGAAAGATTATGAGAATTATTTATCAGAAACCGTTTGTATCATTGTCTTTTAGCTCTTGATTGGGACCTATCAATTGGTATCAGAGCCTTTATCTCGCTTTTGATTTGGACCACCTTGTGGTATCAAACGCAACCTTCATTCACCATGTATCTCAGTTTTGACCTGGACCACACTTTGTGGTATCAAAACCTATTTTTTATGATGTCTCTTGGTTTTGATCCGGATCACATTATTTGTGGTATCAAAACCTCTATTTCTTTATGTATCTAAACAAAAAAAAACTAAGGACATGGGAAGAAGAGGAACATGTTGCAGAAGTTTTCCCGAGTTTGTCACAAACCTTGAGGACAAGATTATTGTTCGAGGGGAGGGTATTGATGGGCTCATGAAACATGACCGGCCCATACAAATTATGGTTTTATGGTTTTGGTTTTATAGTTTTAATTTGATTAGGATATTATTGCTTTTATGATTATCTTCTCTTTATTCTTGCTGGACTAGATAAACTCAAATCATGTGGTGTTTTCTTATAAATACTGTGAGAACTCAATAAGAAAGATTATGAGAATTATTTATCAGAAACCGTTTGTATCATTGTCTTTTAGATCTTGATTGGGACCTATCATTTCCTCACCCCACTTCTCATAAAGTGGATATTCTACAAAGTAATAGAAAAAAAGTACGTGATACTTCACTAGTAGGGGTGGGCATTCGGGTATGCGGGTCGGGTTCGGGTAAAACCCGATCGGGTACGGGTTTTTCGGGTAGAGGAGTTTAGGACCCAATAGGGTAAATCTAAAATATCGGTTCGGTTTTGGTTCGGGTCTAATCGGGTTTGGGTCGGTTCGGGTTTAGATTTTTAGAACCGCTAAATACCCGGAAAAATCGGGCACCCATCGGGTTCGGGTATTTTATATCCAAATACCCAAAATTTTACCAAATACCCGAATTTTACCCAAAATTTTACTCTAATATCCGAATTTGATCCGCAATTTTACTCAAATATCCGAGTTTCACCCAAAAATTTATCCGAATAACCGGAATTTTGTCCAAATATTTAAAAAATTTACAAGCATCTCGCATATAAATATATTTAGTCTTAAATATATAAATATAAGTGCATTTAATTTTTGGTAACTACTCTCGGATATTTGGATATAAATGTATTTAGCTCAAATATTACATATATATAAAGTTTTTATATGTATAAGTATAAGTAATTTCGGGTAATCGGGTACCCATTCGGGTATCGGGTTCGGATCGGGTTTTACCCTATACCCACGGGTACGACAATACAAGACCCAATAGGGTAAATAGCTAATACCCGTACCCGCCCCGAACCGGTTTTTTCGGGTCGGTTTCGGTTCGGGTACTCGGGTACGGTTTTTTTGCCCAGGCCTATTCACTAGGATCATAAAACTAATACACAACTCAATAGGATGTGATAATGGTATACTACAATCAATTACTCAAGGCTAAGAATATCATCCCAAAACATATCTCATTGAGTTCCAAAATGGGGGAAAAATATATCCCTTCCTTTGAATGCTTAGCGGGTGCATCTTTCCTTGGCATTGCTATCCCTTCTTAAAGTGTCCAATTGTCTTGAATAGTTAGGCATTGTGGTTTGAAGTTGATGAATGTTGTATCTCCACGCATTGCGACACTCTCATTTCGAGAAGTAAGTAACACCTTCCAACCTGCAAAATATTTACTCGTTTCATGATAACCAAACTCAAAGAGCATAATAACTTGTTTAATCTTTCTATTTACTTAGTAGATTAAGAAGTCATCTTTTTTGGACGGAAATATTTTTTTGATTTCGCCCCAGTCTTCATCTTTGCATACGTCGTCAAAGACAATCAATGATTTAGATGTTTTTAATAATTGATTGAGTTCTTTCTGGAGTTCATTTTCATTTTTTTTTTTGAATTTAATGTTAAATTATATTCAAAAGAAAATAAAACGTTTGTACAACTAGTGCATCGTTTTGCTGATAAGAAAAGCTGAAGAAAGAAAAACAAAATGTTACAACAAGCTAATCATCCATAGACTTGGAGCCAAAGCTGATAGGCTTCTGCGTATCGCCTATCTCCCATTAATCGAATCGTCGTGATCTGATTTCTTACGTGCTGATCAATCCAACTCGTTATACGTTCCACTGTTTGAGGTTTGTCGCCATGCCGCCTCCCATTTCTTTCTTTCCATATTGTATAAACAGCTACTTGGAACACGGATCTGATGAGACATCCCTCTACCCGCTGCAGCTGTGTGTTCGAAATGTAATCAAGAATGAGTGACCAAACTTGTGTGTACCTTGTTTTGAAAAGGCCCTTAGCCAAAGCCGACCAGACTTTTGAACTGTATTCGCAAGAAAAGAAAAGGTGATCTCGTGTCTCCTGGTGGTTAGTGCATAGAACACAAGATCCCGATACATTCCCATTCCATTTGAGCATACGATCTCCCGTATATAGTCTATTGTGAGCTGCCAACCATACATAAAAGGAATGCTTTGGTGTTGCATGCGCAAACCAAACTCCCCTGTGCCAAGAGACTGTCGCAGAAGTTGTCCGGATATGGTTCCAAGTATCCTTTGTCGAAAATTTCGGCTTAAAGATGTCATTTTCCCCCCGCCAGAGAGCTTTGTCCTCTTTGGTGTTTCGGTTTTGCCACTGTGTGTATAATGCGTCTTCCATTGCATTTAACTGATCAATACGATGCTTTCTTCGTCTCCTATGCGCCCAAGCAGCCGCAACAGAGCTTGTTTTGCTGATTCCAAGATCAATGGTGCCCCGTGAGCCCGCAATGTCTATCAGCCTTCCCATTGAAGTCCAATTATCGTACCAGAATGAGGTGTGCTGCCCGTTTCCTACTTCCACTTTACAGAACTGCTTTGCTACTTCTCTGAGAAGTGAGATTCTGCAAGATCGTTTGCCACACAGATCGTTTGCATTCATCTTCAGGATTTTATCTTTTCTTTCTTTAGAAGTGAGATTCTGCAAGATCGTTTGAAACAACCAAGGAGCTATCTAGAGCTCTCATACAATTTTCATTAGGTATTATCCAATAAAAGGAGTTTTATGATTGACTAATCATCAGTTAACAAACATGAAAACCATAATTGCTATGAAGCGCAAAGTACTTTTGTTCTTCTGTCATGATACTCTTAACGTAAATAGTAAGTCTGAATATACCGAAAAATACATCAATACAAAAATGCAGAAAAATTATTCTGTAGATAGGCAGATGACCAAATTAATAAGAAATTCGCCTCCGCAAAGAGTCACCTACAAAACATAAAAATCCAACAAAAATTCAAACAAATCCAACATCATTCTACTTCTCTCACTAAAAAATGTTATAAAAACAAACACAGAACATATTTCTCTAGCTAGATCATTTTGTGTACTTGATATATAGATATGGGGGAAATAATAATTTACCTGGTATATAGTGTGTTACTGCATAGAGCCTCATTCGTCGTAGGTTGCTCGGAAAGTGATACAAGGAATGTGCAAGACTTTGTAGTAATCTTCACCACCTTCCAAAAATCTCTCCTCCCATATCTTATCCATATTCAGATGATTTAAAGAAGTGATGAATAGTAGCTCAACCGGAACCTGCTTTAACTTTTGACAACCCCAAATAGACACAGTATGAATAAAGGGGATACTACCTTCTTCTACTATCCACTCTTCCAACCTTTCTAACCCACATAATCTAAGCTTGTGTAATCGAGGAAATCCACCCCCTGAGCAAACCATTCTCCTCCCACAGAAAGAGTTATAAATTAATTTGACCTCATATAAGTGAAGCAGCTTCTCTAGAATCGGCATCGGATCGTCCACCAAACCACAACCGTCTAGAGATATGGTTGTAAGGTTAGAAGGGAGGTGTTGTATTCTAGGAAGCCCTTGCATATACATACGCAAACTCAACTTTTTGAGATGAACGAAATCCAATACAAGTCCCTCCTTGCTGTCAAACCTGTGATCAGCTACCTCAAGATTTTCCAGGTGTCTAAGTCCACCTATTGATGCATATAGAGTTTCCACAGTAGTGTCACTAGTTAAAGTCATCACAAGAGTCCTTAGCCTGACCATACCACGAAGATCCTCTATGTTGATGTTCTCTGTTGTGAATTCTTCCAAGGTCTCCAAGTTTACTAGCTTACTCAATTCCAACTTCGTGTCCTTACTCATACAAGTTGGTAATGCAAGGTATCTTAATTCTTGCATCCCCATCAAAACATTTGGCACAATTATAGATTCCATATTGCCAATGCCAATATATACATTTATATTAAGATAGATCAGCAAAATTAGGTCTCCTAGAGAAGAAGGTAGATGAGATACCTTAGCCTCTCTTAAGCTTAAGTATTTTAAGTGGATGAGCTTTCCAATGTCCTTAGGCAACTTCCCTCCTTGAAACTCCGCTTTATAGAGATCTAACACCCTGAGAAGTTCTAATCTCTTAAAGCTTGAACCTGATAGCATCCAACTTTCACCATAGAAATCCAAGACAATAAGGAGAGATCGAAGTTTACAATTATTTATGTCTCTCTCAACATGTAAGTTAGTAGGAGATTGGCACACAAGCCTACGAGATCTACAAGGAGATTGAGAGTCTACGATCGGGGAGCGGGTACCGGCAATTTGTAGGAAGTTCTCCTCTTTGGCTTTTAACAAACAGAGTTCTCTCATAGTGTCATGCAATTTACAAGTTTCAAATCTCGAAGTCCTACTATCTCTTTCAGAAATAACCATATTCCTCCTCACCAACTCGTCTATGTAGCTGTCTCCAACATCTCGAATGGTCTCTCCATCATATTTCCTAGGTTTGAGTATTCCTTCTGCAGCCCAATAATATGACAAAGTTGACACATCTATTTCATCATCTTCGGGAAAATAGGCTAGGTAGAGGAAGCAATGCTTCAAATAACTAGGCAACTCTTCAAAGCTCATAGACAATACATGGTATACCAAACTGTTGTTATCGTCATTTAAATTGGTTCTTCCCATGCTACCAGATCCAATATCCTTAAATACTCTTTTCCAATCATGAATTGTATATTTTGCAGCTAAAAAACCTCCTAACACTTTGATAGCCAAAGGTAACCCCCCACAATGTTTTATCATTTCCTTACCCATCTCTTCCATTTCCTCATCAACCATAAATTCTGCACAACAATATCGCCAGTTTAAATAATACTACATTTTGTATCAAATCAATAATACAGTTCTACTGGATGTGAAAAGAAAATATCAGAATTAAGTAAGCCGTATGTTTTGTGATCATCATAAGAAAATATTGTTTGTAATCAAATTAAATACTAAATACTTACCGGATGCATCTTTCTTTGGAAATGCTATTAGTTGAAGAAGTGTCCAACTCTCTTCAGTACTTAGGCATTGTGATTTAAAGTTGATAAATGTTGTATCACCGCGTACTGCGACACTCTCATTCCGAGAAGTAAGTAGCACCTTCCAACCTGTAAAAAAATATGTTCCTTTCATAATCTCCAAACACAAAGTGCATAATGAGTATGACTTGTTATCATCTTTCTTTTTACTAAGCACCATAAAAAGGTCACCTTTTCCCGGTGGAAATATTTGCTTGATTCGGTCCCAATCTTCTTCTTTCCATATGTCATCTAGCACAATCAATGATTTAGATGATTCCAAGAAACGAAATAGTTCGTCTTGGAGCATTGATTCTGTCATCTCCAAGATTTTATTTTTCTCTACATGGGGTTTAAGTTCCCGCAAGATTGTTTGCCACAAATGCTTCCGGGTAAACTCTTGTGAAACAGGCACCCATGCGAGTCCATCAAACTTATGTTTAACCATCTCATGATGAAAAACTTGTCTGGCAAGAGTGGTTTTACCAACACCACCCATCCCAGTTATAGAAACAACTTGAATGTTATCTTCCTCCACGAAATATCCAACCAATTTCTTTACCTTTGTTTCTAGCCCCACAAAATTGCTTTCGTAACCCCTAGCAAATTCTTGTCGCATCTCCCTTTGTCTTTCTTGTAGGGTATGTGAATAACGGCTACCATCAACAATCATCTCGTGTACTCCAAAACTTTTCATAGTTCGAATCACTTTGGAAATCCTCTTACTTATGCCTCCAATATTAGACGCAACTTTCCCACGATCCACTATAGTGAAAGCAAATTTTCTTACACGCTTTCCGAAGCTTGTTTTTCCGATTTCTTCATTCAAAAGAAAGGTTTCGATTATATCCTCTGCATCATAGATAATTTCATTTATATCGTGAACACAAGTTTTCACCACCGCGCTTGTATGTTTCTTTGCATCTGCATCTTTTAGGAAAGAGCTTAACAAACTTAGATCACGTTTTAAATCAGTAACTTGATCATTAACTCCCTGAAATTTCTCGTATTCTTGGGACAGTAGCTCCAAGAGCTTTTGTACTCCAAATGCTATAATTTGGTCCCCAACCATAATGGCTCCTGCTTAATCAATGTTAATAAGAAGGAAAAAAAAAGAAGAATCAAGCTACGTAGTACGTACTATTGAAAAACATGTATATATATATAGGAGTCAAATATCATAAGTTCGAAGTGGTAACCAAAAGAATATTGGAAGAAAAATTGGAACGACCCTAATGCATTAACAATCAAATCTTAAAAGGTGATGTGGAATTTTAATATTGCATCTTAAAATACTTTATATAAGATGAAATTCAGCTTAAGATTAGTGGATGTTATGTATGATAAATAGGCTACAAACAAAATTAAATGTACTGTGCAAGTGTTATGAATTATGGTTGAACAAAGGAAAAAGGAAAATATTTCTGCATTTGATTTCTGTTTTTTCTTTAATAAATAATGGGAGGTTTTCTCCTTCTTTCTCACCAAACCAAAAAACAAAAAAAAAGGAAAAAGGAAAATATTTCTTCAAAAAAACGTCAAAAGTCTAAAACAATTTGACGTGGAGTATGATCATGCTGACATATGGAACTAATTTGATGTTTAATAATACTCCACCTCCTTATCCACCTCCTAAAATTTAATTAGGAGGTGGGCCGGGCCTGGGATTGAGAATAAAGTTTTCAAATGTTTATTTTCAAAGGAATGGAGAATATTTGGTATATAAGTGGTACTTTGGAAAGTTTACATTTGGTGATTGGCTGTGGAGAATCGATATTGGAAAACACACGGATGTGGTCACAGATATTGGTAAGGATGGAGAAAGGGAAAAAGAGCGTAAACAGAAAGGAATTTAGTTGCTTAAGGGAATTAGTTCTAAGAAGCGAAATGTCCAAATGCTAACGTCACCTCGCAAACAGATTGTACCAAAGGGAGGAGAGAAAGGGAATGAAGGCCATAAGTTGATGAACCATGACACGGTGAAGGGTTTAATGGGTGGACGCAACCCACCCAAACTAAAGTTTGATAAATGAAAGTTTTGAGTTGGAATTGTCAAGGTATCGGGAATAAAGCAACTATTGGATATCTTTTGGATTTGTGGAAGAAACATCGGCCAAATTTTTTATTTTTCTCGGAAACAAAACAATCCTCTTTATTTTTGAAAAAATTAAAAATGGTTTATCCTATTGGTTGTAGTAGTGGTTTAGCGCTTTTTTATAATAATGATTTAAATGTTTCTATTATTTTTGAAAGTAATCGATTAATCGATATTGAAGCTGTTTACCAAGGGAAAAAAATTAATCTTACTTTTTTTTTTATGGTGATCAGGTACCAAAAAATAAAGACCAAGTTTGGGAACGGTTAACACGGATCGGTTTATCTCGGGATACACCTTGGTTTTTGATAGGAGATTTTAATGATTTAAAAGTAAACCATGAAAAAGGGTGGCAAATTAAGACATGCTTTTTCTTTTATCCCTTTTAATTTAATGATAAATGATTGTGGTCTTATGGAATTTTCACATCTCGGAGATTGGTTATCTTGGCGGGGATGGCGGGATAAAATACCAATACGGTGTCGTTTGGATAGAGCACCAGCAAATAAAGATTGACATGATTTATTGTGTAATTCTTTCGTAGAGTGTTTACCAATGATAGCTTCTGATTATTCATCGGTTACAGCTACGACTGCGGATAAGATACCACGTGCTAAGCGCTGCTTTAGGTTTGATAAAAGATGGATTGGAAAATAATGGTATTAGAGGCAATATCAAGTGGGTGGAACCTCGATTCCGGTGCAGAAGAGGGACAATTTGTGGAAAAATTGACTAATTGTAGACGGCTATTTCACAATTGCGGAAAGAGTTAACTCCTTATGGACGGAATACATAGAGGACCTGAAATCTGAACTAGATGCGGCTCAGAGAGACGATACGAGAACACGAGAAGAGATTACAGAATTAACATTGCGGTTGAAAGAGGCTGACCAAGATGAAGAACAATATTGGTATATAAAAAAATAGGAGTCTTTGGATGCAATTAGGAGATAATTATTCGAAATTCTTTCATGCTCTAACAAAACAGAGACGTGCCAAGAATCGAATTACTGAATTACATGATGAAAATGGGATATGATCTGTGGAGGATAAAGATATTCAGAACATAGCGGTATCTTATTTTAAGAATTTTATTTACTACAACTAATCCTCATTGCTTTTGAGAAATCCTTAGCAGAGGTTTAAAATAATGATAACGGATCAGATTAATAAATTTTTTAACGGCACATGCGACGGAAGGTTAGGTCTGAGGGGCCTTATTTATGATCCACTCGAAAAAAGCGCCAAGTGCCAGATGGTATGACAGCTTTGTTTTTTCAGAAAGCCTGGGCTACCATTAAAACGGATTTGTTATTTCTCGTTAACTCATTTTTACTAGATGGAGTCTTCAACAAGCGGTTAAATAAGACTAATATATGTCTTATTCCAAAACGGAGCGACCGACGCGGATGACGGAATTACGGCCTATTAGTCTCTGTAATGTTGGTTATAAAATTATTTCAAAGATCCATTGTAAAAGACTGAATACGATCATTCCAAATCTTATTTCGGAAACTCAATCTGATTTTTTAGAAGGGCGACTAATCTCGGAGAATATTCTTATAACACTGGAGATGTTTCATAGGCTGAGAACTAACCAGTCCTGCAAATAAAATTTTATGGCTATTAAAACGGATATGGGTTTCCGCGAAAAGTGGATTTTGTGGATGATGTCGTGTATCACAACAGTCTAATATAGGGTTCTCCATAATGGACAACCCAGAGGTCTAATAATTCTAGAGAGGGGATTAAGACAAGAAGATCCTTTATCTTCTTATTTATCTATCCTCTGTACAGAAGTGCTTATTGCGAATATTCGGAAAGCGGAACAGAAAAAGTTGATCAATGGTATTAAAGTTTCCACATCTAGTCCTTCGGTATCTCATCTTTTATTTGTTGATGATAGCTTGTTCTTTTTCAAAGCCAATAAAGAACAATGTTGGGTAATTTTGGGGATTCTAAAGCAATATGAAGCGGTTTCGGGGCAACAAATTAATTTTTCAAAATCATCGATTCAGTTTGGCCATAAGTTGGATGACTCTATAAAGGTAGAAATAAAAGCGGTTTTGGGTATTAATAATTTTGGTGGTATGGGCTCTTACCTGGGTTTACCGGAAAGCTTTGGTGTATCGAAGACAAAGATATTTGTATTGGTTAGAAACAGACTACATGCTAGAATAAATGGTTGGTCGGCCAAACTCTTATCGAAAGGCAGGAAAGAAGTAATGATTAAATCGGTAGCCGCGACATTACCAACATATGTTGTGTCTTGCTTCAGGCTACCAAAAACCATCACTTCTAAACTTACAAGTGCAGTCGCTAAGTTTTGGTGGAGTTCAAATGGTGAATTGAGAGGGATGCACTGGATGACTTATAATAAGCTATGTAGTAGTAAATATGAAGGTGGTGTAGGATTTCAGAATATAGATGATTTTATTTCGGCTTTACTAAAAAAACAATTATGGCATTTGATTACAGTTCCTGATTCACTTTTTGAGAAGGTTTTCAAGAGAAAGTATTTTCGGAAATCTAATCCTTTGGATAAAATAAAATCATACTCCTCTTGCTATTATGGCTGGAGAAGTATTATGTCAGCTAGTTCTCTGGTTATTAAAAGAGTCGGTTCTGGGGCGTCCATCTCAGTTTGAGAGGATCGGTGGATTCCAGCTTAATTCCCAAGACTAGCAAAAAGTAATGGTTCAATTATTGACCAATCTTTGAAAGTTAAAAACCTTGTAGACAGCCAGTCAAAGTTTTAGAACATTGATCTCTTGAGAGAGCTCTTTGATCTGGAAGATGTCACACTGATTAATGCAATGCCTTTGGGTGCGACAAATAAGGAGGTATAACCCTTGGTTGGCATCTCACAAAATCTGAAAATATATAGTTAAATCTAGTTATCATACAGCGCGGCTAGAGGATTTGGATACCAATTTAATGTTTTTTGGCCTAGACATCAAACCTCTAAAAGTATATACTTGGAAGGTGCAGTGTCCACCTAAGCTACGTCATTTTTTATATATGGAAAATATTATCATGTTGTGTACCCATTACTGAAAATCTACGAAAGAGAGGTATAAATTGTGATATCGGAAGCGGAAAATGTGACGCGGTAGAGGAAACAATTAACAATACATTCTTTGAATGCCACCCAGTGAGACAAATTTGTACACTTTCTCAGATTCATTCGGTTCTGGGGATTTTTCCCACAGCTTCTATTTACGCGAACTTGGATCACCTATTTTTGAGAATACCTTCAGAGGTAGATTATCTTCATATCCTTTGATATTTTGGTATATTTGGAAAGAAATGAATCAAAAGATCTTTGAAAATATGGATAAAGATCCATTAGAGGTATTACGTTTAGCGGAAAAAGAGGCGCAATCGTGGCAGTTAGCTCAACTCGAGCTTCATACTGAACACCATGGTTCTTTAGATTACGAAAATCGAACTCGAGTGAGGGATATTTAACATGATATTATTTATTTAGGATATCGTTGTTTCGTGGATGGATCATGGAAAGGGACCGCTAATTTTTCAGGAATAGGAAGGTATTGTACATCATCAAATGGAAAGACGCCAACCATGGGAGCTGCCAACATCCGTAGAAGTCTATCTCTTCTACATATAGAAGTGGAAGCTCCTCTTTGAGCGATGAAGTTTATGATTGGTGCTGATAACCAAGATGTAGTTTTTTTTACAGACTGTTCAGATTTGGTGAAGATGGTGTCTTCTCCAACCGAATGGCCGGCATTCTCAATGTATTTGGAAGATTTTCAGAGCGATAAGGAAGAATTTTCAAGCTTTTCTTTATCTTTAATACCTCGTAGTGCAAATGTAAAAACATATAATTTGGCACGAAAAGTTTGTACCGAACCGCTTTATATCATATATGTAAACAACATTCCTCAAGAATGACTCTTTTGAGTTTTAATTAAAGCTGTTGATAAAAAAAAAATTACAGTACTATTCTTACGTAGTTAAC